TCGAAACTCCTTAATTTGATTTTTCGGTAAATATCGTATCATAGGTGATAAACCCAGTAAAATGACCATAACTCGAGAAGGAAGGCCCATGGGCCCTTGTCCTTTTGGGCTTTTTCTAATCTCATTGGACTCTACTTATCGGCAAAATATCGGCTTAAAAGCTTTGAATCACTTCGAACGGTTCCCTCGTTAGTAATTAATTAAAAATAGAATTCTGAATTCACTTATTTGAAGCATATCGATATTAATTTCAAAAGTATAGAAACTAGAAAAAAGTAAACATTTGACTTACTATAATTTATAATATTTATATGACTATGCTTATTATAGAATTGGAAGAAAAAGATGAAGTAAACATAAAATATCCAGAAGATACAACAAGTATTGGCAGTAATAGTGTATGTTGTTTTCAACAAATTTTTCTTTTCATTTCTTACATTCTTTTATTTTCATTTAGTCTAATGATGAAAAAGATTTAAATACATGGCGTATTCATATCAGTGGCATTGATGAATTACGTGATAATATACATTTTAATATAAAACATTTTGTATTTATAATTGAAGTACGACGATTAGATTCTAATAGTGGTAAATATTTTTCTTTTTTTGTTTTACAAAATAAAACTAAGGAATAATCTTTAATGTTTTAGAAACTCCATTAATTAATGATGATGATAGAACTTATTGGATTGTAACAAGGTAAATAAAAAGAAAATATTTCAAATAGATTTCTATTATTATTTTATTGTATTTAGACGTTATCAAGATTTTTATTTATTAGAACAAAAATTAATTCGATTTCATGGAGTTTTTTCTGATGCACGTTTACCAGCAAAACGATCGACAACAGGTGCTCGAAATCGAGAATTTCTTGAATCAATTAAACAAGAATTTGAACATTTTTTAAGAGTAAGTTTATGATATAAGATGCCAGCAATTCGAATTTTAAGCAAAACCTTTTTTTTCCAGAATTTCTTTTTTTGGTCACAGTTCGATAGAGCTAGCTCGTCGAGTAATTTATAGAAATGTTGATTTTTTTTAGTACAACTTAAGAGAATTGAAGCGATAACCATTAAATAAAAGCTTATATTCTAATATTTTGATCATTAGAATTTCACATCCGAAAGAAACAAATATCATTTTCAGAATCAACACTAAAAACTACATCGAAATGTATATTTAATATTGAAAATTAAATTTCGACTTTAGAAGAAGCACAGGTCTGATATTATTCTAAAATAACACTGTGAGATGTATTGACCTATGTGTTGTAGAAAGACTGAAAGGAAAAGTAATAAAAATTTCAAGCAAAAAGACATTTTTGATGCATGTTGAATTATTTTTTTCCGATTCCTTATGGGGAGTAAAATGAAGAAAAATCATAATAAATATAGAAGACAAAAAATGTCTCATGGGCGGCATTTTACTCTGAAAGGGAAATTTTTTTTTTTTTAAATAATTGATATTTTTCTTTTTGAATTATTTAGCATTTATTATCTAAACCAACATTACGTAATAGTGAATTATTATACAATTTTCTTACACAACCTGATGATTTTATTTTACCAAATGGTGAAGATGTTTTAGGTAAATTCAATAAGTTATTTTTTTTTCTTATTTTTATATGAAATTATTGAAATATTTCTTTTTAGCAAAAATGTTCAGAGTTGTACCACGTCGATTACGTACTGAGGTTAAATAGATAATTTAATTATGATTAAAATAAAACAAAAAAAAAAAAATTTTAATTTTCTATAGAAAGGTCAATATCTTGATCCATTTCTTGTATCTTTAATCAATTATGCTGAACCAGCAAAACCAAAAGCAACACAAGCAACTCCAGTTTTTAATGATATTATCGAAGCAAAAGTATAAATAATTTATATTTCAAATGATTTAAAAAAATTTTCATTTTTTAGCTTGAAAATTCAATCTATGGAAATAATGCAAATGTAACAGATCCTATAGAAGAAGTTACAGTAAAAGAAAAATCTACTACTCATGAACTTGATAGTGCCTATGATCATTTGATTGTTGTTGGTATGAATATCACATTAATCTGATAATTTTCATATGTTTTTTTCTTTTGTGATTTATAGCTAAACAAGTTTTTTCTGCATCACCTTTATTAATTTATCTATTAGATTTACTTCGTATACCATTAAAAAATTCCTTTAATACATTCTTTTCAAAATTTATTGATGATAATGTTGATGATATTATAAATGATGAAGAGAATATTATTGATGTAATTCATGCTCTTCGAGGTATATTTATATATTTTAATTTAAATAATAATACTTTTTTTTTCTTTCTATAGATGTAGTCTTTCCAAATGATGCAGAAGATAAAGGGTAACGAAAAAAGAAAAGTATCAATTTGAAAGAATAGTTTTTTTTTATAATTATATTTCAGTCCTACGGATTTAGTTAATTTTGATGATGTTGTTGCAGCAGCTGAAGAATTTTTACCAAGTAAGTTTTAGATAATTTCTTTTATAAGACTAAACAATGAATATAATATGTATATATATATGGGGGTGGCCAACTTGACTGATACCCCGTTTTGATTCAGCCCTATTGTAAAGATAAAATCTATTATTGTCCGGGCCATATAAGACAGGATCCTATATAACCCTGGATTGGCCCGAACAACAACATGTTTTATCCTTACAATAGTGAAGAATAGCTACCAGCTTGTCATGTGATCTGCTAGCTTTTCTCTACTATTATAAGCATAAAACATGTTGTTGTTCGGGCCAATCCAGGGTTATATAGGATCCTCTCTTATATGGCCAGGACAATAATAGATTTTATCCTTACAATAGGGCTGATTCAAAACGGGGTATCAGTCAAGTTGGCCACCCCCATATATATCAATTGACCTGTAATGGATATTTTGATATTCCATTATTGTGAGAGCGATCGGGTGTTTTTCAGTGAAGCTTGTGAAAAAAAAATACATTCGAGGGTGTTATTGAGTAGATTAGAATTATGCATCTAACTGTATGGAAGATTGATACTTGTCTTTCGGGATATTACTAATGAGGGCACCTTTCCATATGTTGTCTTCGTATCATTTTTTTTTTGTCTACCAATACTATATGGTATTCTAGTGAAAACTCGAGCAGAATTTAAGTTCAAATGGAGATTGAGTGGAACTATTTAATTTTTTATATGTCGATTTGTCAGAAGCTCTCATTATATTTTCGAGATGAACTTTTGAAAAATAGATACTTTTCGAAGCGTATTAATTAATACAAGAATATTATGAAAAGTTCGTATTTCGAAGATACGAAATCTAATTATAAACTATACAAATCTTAATAAAGGCTATTGTGTTCGAGATCTTTATAAGTGAAGATAATCTATAATGCGAAAATTTTGGCAGAAAATATTTACTTATTTCTCGCTTGTTAAAAGACAACGTATTCGAAACAAAGTTTTTCGCTATTGTTGAATTTATATTCAGAGTTTTTTCTTCTGAGGTAAGATTGAACAATTATCAATAAATTTTGTGAAAAAGTCCAAAACTGTGTCTTTACCAAGTAAAATAGCAGTTTTAGCGCAGCCCTTAGTTTGCATTTTCAAACAGTTTCAACTCCACATTATTGTAGAGCACCAAAATTGTGTACAAAATGAGATATTACAATAAGCAAAATCTCATCTGAAGAACTGGTTTTTGTTTTGTAGAAGTCGGCAATCGCTGCTGTTAGAAAAAATTTAGCCTCCTGATAGAGAACACTTTTGAAAATTTCGAAAAGTGTCTAGTATAGAGAGATTATACTGTAATTTGAATTCTATTGAATTTTAGATGTGATTAAACTTATACTTGGTAAATCAAATGTTCAAAATGGTTTACAAACAATTTTTCAATATTTTCAAGATCCATTACTTAATAAACAAGTAAGTTAATTTCTATATATCTATTAAATATATTTATATATTTAAATTTCTATATATTTTTAGTTATTTTACATGATTCTCGATGAAATTCTCTTACAAATTTTTCCTGAATTACAAGCACATTTTGAAAAAGCAAATATTCGTTTAGCATAAACTTATATTCTTTTTTCTTTTCGGACTGCTCAATCTGTTTTTTTTTCGTCTGTATCTCTCCCTCTCTCTCTCTCTCGTGTATTTAAATAATCTCTCGTTGTTATTTTATTTTTCTGTTGTATTCAATATTTATAAAAAGAACAAAATATCAAATTCTTATTGTAGATAAGTGTAGTATTCAATTGAATGGCACACTTATCATTGATTTTAAATATATTAATAATCTGTCTAACATCTTATTCATATTGTCAACAATGTGAACAAAGTTCGGATGTAGCTCGTTTTGATTGTTATCCAGAAAGTGGTTCAACACAAGATAAATGTCTTGCAAGAAATTGTTGTTGGAGAACACCAATAAAACGAACAAATTCAACAACGAAAAATCCGAGTTATTTCAATGATGTTAATATACCTTATTGTTATTATCCAAAAGATTTTCCAACATATTCTGTACAAACAATTCAACAAACTGATTTTGGTCAAAGAATACGAATTAATAAATCTGAAACAACATATATGCCACATGATATTATTGATTTAACTGTTGATCTTATATATGAAACTGAACAACGATTTCATATTCGAATATATGATTCGATGTATAAACGATATGAAGTACCAATTCAAGTTCCAGTTGTACAAAAGAAAGTTAATATGACAGATTATGATGTTAAAGTTAATCAACAACCATTTTCAATACTTATTACAAGAAAATCAACAGGTGTTACATTGTAAGTTTTTTATTTATTGGAAGAAATTTTAGTCGAATTTATTAATTCAATAGTTTCAAATTTCATTCTAACAAATAAGTCTTACGAGGGAACATCCCCAACTGTCGAACACCGTTTGACTCCATATGTTGGGTATGAGTAGGATTCAGTGAGACTAAGAAAACCCTGAAAGGATTCGGGCCCATGGTGTATTAGACAAGAGTTATGACCGTTTTACTGAACTTTTGGCTTATTCGTATGTATTCACCAGAACATGAAATTAAGTGATTTCGATCTGAAATTTTGCCCAAAAGTAGAACTAATCATGCTTGAAGTATGCTGAAAATTTCAGCTCGAACGGACGTTCCTTTGCCGAAATATGGACTTTGAAAAACTACTCGTTTTTCACAGACTTACCCGAAAAACCGGGTTTACATGAAAATCAAATAATTTGGCAAAGGAACATCCGTTCGAGCTGAAATTTTCAGAATACTTCAAGCATGATTAGTCCTACTTTTGGGCAAAATTTCAGATCGAAATCACTTAATTTTATGTCCTGGTGAATACATACGAATAAGCCAAAAGTTCAGTAAAACGGTCATAACTCTTGTCTAATACACCATGGGCCCGAACCCTTTCAAGGTTTTCTTAGTCTCACTGAATGCTACTCATACCCAAAATATGGAGTCAAACGGTGTCCGACAGTTAGGAATGTTCCCTCGTTAGTTGAGTACAATAAATGTTGAAAATCTTATGATATTGTCACTGTTGTCATCCTTAGATACAGTTATGATAATAGAGTGTGTTTTATATCGTTGATATGAACTGTCAACTTAGATATTTTTATTTCAGAATAGAAGCAAATCAAAAGATTTGAAACTTTTACAATGAGCTACTCTCATTAAGACCTGTTTCTATGTAAAATTTCAAGTCGAAATTCGAAGCTCAGTTATTCTGATGTTTGAGAAGAGGCTCATAGCATTCATTTAAAAAATACCATAACAGTACAGAACCTATACAATAATAAATTAAGGATACGAACTCTTTTCAGGGTATTCATAGTTCATTTGGGTCTTCGTAATGCACATAGTCTCGACTTAAAAGGGATTTATCAGTTGCAGGGCGTCCCCTCGTTAATTAAAACTAAACATTTTTGATTCTCGGAATCATAAAAAAGAACTGATACAACAGACTGTAATTAATTGCATAAGTAGGGTTTTAACAGTGCAGAGACTTCACTTAATTTTGTATTAACTATCGTGGTTTATAATAGTAAAGTAATTATGCATCCAGAAAATAACATAAAAAAAGGTTTTCATTTGAAAACTTCAAATATCTGAAGAAAAGGTACATGTTGGATAGTTTTATAAATTGAAAGTTACTTTTGTGAAATACAATCTAAAAAAAATATTGAAGTATAGGAGTGAAATTTTGTCGCTCCTATCACAGAGACAGTGCTATTCGATGAAAGACCGTATATAGTTAACGTCTCGTTGTAATATATGAACTGCTTTCTTATTGTATTTCTGGAGGATCAAGTAAAACGATAACGGAGTGGTGTGTTCCAAAATAGATAGAATAAAACAAGCTTTATATACTTAACAACGATGGCTATATCATGTTTGATACTTTAACTAGACAGGAACTATGCTAACAGGTTTTCTTCTTGTTGAAATCTCTTCGAAAATGAGTAATTCTTTTCCTAAAAATATTTTTGAATTTCTTTTTAAAATGATAATGTATTAAGTTGAAAAGCTTCTTGCTTTGTTTTCAAAGACTTTGAGGCTTTAAATCCGCTATATGTTTCTCTCTCTCTTATTCTTACTAAAATATTGAATTTTAAATTTTGGTTTTTTGTTTTAATAGTAATTCAGTTTGATCTATTGAATTATTCAAAGAAAGACTTTTTTTCTTTATTATTTTTCTAGATTTGATTCAAGCGTCTCACCACTAATATTTGCTGATCAATTTATTAAATTTTCTACACGTTTATCAAGTCCATTAGTATATGGTCTTGGAGAACATCGACAAGGATTATTAATTAATGTAACAGATCAATGGAAAAAACTAACATTTTGGTCACGTGATTTTCCTCCAGTACAAAATACAAATCTTTATGGTTAATATTTATATTTTAATTGAAATAAATGATAAATAATTTTCTATTTAGGTGTTCATCCATTTCATATTAATCTTGAATTAAGTAATAATAATGAACAAACAAATTTTCATGGACAATTTCTTCTTAATTCAAATGCAATGGATATTGATCTTCAACCATTACCTGCAATAACTTACACAACTATTGGTGGTATTATTGATTTATATATTTTTACTGGACCAACAGTACAAAATGTTATTGAACAATATTGGAATATTATTGGAGTAAGAGAATATAGAAGAATAAAACAAACAAGCCGAAGATTTTTGTTTTTTTTCTTAATTTAATTTCTTTTCCTAGAAACCAATTATGCCACCTTTTTGGTCATTAGGATTTCATCTTTGTCGTTATGGATATAATACTATCGAAAATTTATTAACAATTATTCAAGTAAAATTTTGCTTTTTTTTTTTGCGAAAATAAATCTTGTTTATTTTACTTCTATATAATATAGAGAATGCATGATGCTGATTTTCCATATGATGTACAATGGACAGATATTGATGCAATGTCATCTTATCTTGATTTTACATATGATGATAAGAATTTTCATGGTCTACCGGATCTTGTACGTGAATTACAATCAGATGGAAAACATTATGTAAATATTATTGATCCAGGTATTAGTTCAGTTCAACCTCCGAGAACATATTCACCATATGAAGATGGATTGAAAAAAAATATTTTTATGACAAAATTTAATTCAACTGATTTAATTAGGGGAAAAGTAAGAAGAATTAGAATTAGATTTCTATATAATAAAATATTATTATTATAAAAAGGTTTGGCCGGGTATAACAGTTTTTCCTGATTTTACAAATCCAAATGCTACTGAATGGTGGACTAATATAGCGTCAGCTTTTCATGATATAGTTCCATTTGATGGAATGTGGATTGTAAGTATTACAATGTTGTTTTCTTTTATCTATTTATATTCAATAATTTTCCTTTAGGATATGAATGAACCATCGAATTTTGTTGATGGATCAAGTGATGGATGTACAGATAATAAATTAGATAATCCACCATTCGTTCCTAGTATGTCCCATGTATTAGTATATATATATATAAGAGAATTGCAACTCGTTGGGCACAATTGATGTTTTCGTGAATCTATGCAAGAACTTTCATTCTTATGAAACAATTTTAAAATGGAATTTTTAATTCTATTACTTTCATAATTTCATACTAGAGATAGAATCGGTTCAGGTTTTTCAAAAATTTAAACTCAAATTGTTTTGAGACTATGTTTATAATTAGAAAATATTGGATTTTCAAGCGAAATGTATGCAGAGTTGATGCTTTGTCTTAGAGAAGAGTATGTAAAAATAAGACATTTTTTTTAGCTTGAACATCATTCTATCAAAACATGTAATTCATTGATCTTAAGAATTTTCTATTCGTATACTTTGGCTTTCGATATTTCATAACAGACACTCTATGTAATGACATAAAACTGCCGGTTCTCTAAGTTAAGCAAGACTTGAATAGAAAACTTTTTTAATATAAAAATGTATGCCTTTTAATTATTTCTGCTTTAGAAGTAAAACAGATAGGTATATCTAAAAAATTTATACTATAGGACAAAATGTACAATGAAGATTTTTCTGCAGAGATTTTCAGATAATCTACTCATGAGAGAACTTTCCACGATGTCCTTTTCTGATTTTAATAGAATTTTTGTTTACAGATAGTGAATAGAATTCTAGTGAAAATCCTAAAAAGGATTTAGGTTCCTACTAAGACTTTCCGGAGTCATTGAATTTTATCTTAAAACTGCATACATTTAAAGGTGTCAAATACAGTAGTCTGTAGACTTCATATCTACGAGGTACGAACTTTTCAAAAAGTGTCTATCTTTGAAAAGTTCATAGATCGAAGATAGGAAATCTAAAAACTACTATATGCAAGACTTTCAAATGAAAATAGTTTCAAGAATAAAACTCAAAAACACAATTTTACCGAAAACTTGGAACTCTACAGACGTCTTTGGAAAATAAATATATAAAAAAATTCAATGACTCTACTAAATCTCTTTAGGAATTTAAACTCTTTTAAAATTTTCACTAAAATCCTATGCAGTACTTATAGGTAAAAAAAAGTCATTGAAATCAGAAAGAGAACATCTGAAAGGATTTTCTCGTCAGCAGAATTCATTGAGCCTATCATGGATGTTCCTAACTACTCATTTGACTGGAAAATAGTTCGAATTTTTACAAAGAGTAAAGTCAATTATACAATTAAATTAAGCAAAAATTGAACTTTACAATATGCTTTTTCCTGTATATTGACAATTCAGTATTAGAATATTTTTTCTGTGTAACTAAGACATAGATTACAATATTATATACTTACTACTCAAAAAACGTTTAGGCACATTTTCATGTCTTTTATGTCAATTGTACCAAAAATTTATAATTCATTCATATAAAAATATTTCACCATGATTTTTTAAATAGATGTGCTTGGCGGTAGTCTTAGTTCACAGACAGTGTGTCCATCTGCTCAACAGTATCTTTCATCTCATTATAATTTACATAATATGTTTGGTTATTTTGAAGCAATAGCATCGAATACGTATGATAGTTATATTAATTAAGAAAGATTAATAATATTAATTGATTTTTATAGAGCAATGAAAACAATTCGAAAGAAACGACCATTTATTTTATCTCGTTCAACATTTGCCGGTTCCGGTCAATTTACTGCTCATTGGACGGGAGATAATCGTGCTACATTTGATGCTATGTACTTTTCTATTCCAGGTATATTTTATATGAGAATAGATAATTTTTCTAAAATATATATTTGATTTTTAATAATACATATTAAATATGAACTGAAAATCTTTTATTCATCGTTATGAATAATTGAAAATTTAACGAATAATTGACTAAAAAATATAAAATTGAAATGATATATTTTATATTTTTGATTTATATAGCTATTCTCAATTTTAATATGTTTGGTATTACACATGTTGGTGCTGATATTTGTGGATTTGGACTTGATACAACTGAAGAATTATGTACACGATGGATGCAACTTGGTGCTTTTTATCCATTTATGAGAAATCATAATAGTCTAGGAGAAAAAGTTAATAATGTCTTTTTTCTCTAATCGATTTTATATTTATTTAAAATATAGGATCAAGATCCAGCATCATTTTCATGGGAAGTACAACAAATTATGAAACAAGCATTATTTATGCGATATTCATTAGTTCCATTTTGGTATACTCTTCATCATGAAGCTGCAATGATATCAAAAACTATAGTACAACCACTTTTCTTTGAGTATGAACATTATTAGATAAAAATAAAAATAAAAATAATGCATTTTCTTTTGTTTTTAGATTTCCTAATGATGAAAATACTTATAATGTTGATCAACAATTTTTAATTGGTCGTGCTATTCTTGTTTCTCCAAATTTAAAAACAGTAAATAAATTAATTTTTAAAAATTAAATTAACACTTTTAGCATATAGGAAACTAATACTGTTCATGCATACATACCATCAGATGTTTGGTATGAATTTCCATCCGGTGTCAAACTTCAAGTAGTAGGAGTATTTACCGATTTAGATGCACCGTTATCAAAAATAAATGTTCATGTACGTGGTGGTTTTATTATTCCAATGCAAACACCCGGGGCTAATTTAATGATTGGACGTGGTAATCCATTTATATTACTTGTTGCTCAATCTCAATGGGGTAATGCAAGTGGAAATCTTTTTTGGGATGATGGAGATTCTATTGGTTTGTTTATTTTCTTTTGTTTTCTTTATATATGTATACATATTGAAAAATGTTTTTTTCGAAATTTTAGATTCAATTCAAACAAAATCATATAATTATCTTGAATTTTCATTAGATAATGCTGTAAGTAATTAATTGTTTTTATTCGATTGACTCTAATATCTTGTTTTATTGATTATATACTTCTTTCTTTTTTCCGGAAATAAGAAACTTCCTTTCTGTTGATCCGAGAATTAGATAGTTCGAGTTTTTTTTTTGTTTCTTTATAAAAGAATCATTTTCAAACATAAGAAAATACTTTTTTAGATTAGATCTTTGTTATCATGGAGAAGAAAAAAAAGTAAAGTTTATATGATGAATTGGTTTTTAGTATTAACACTCTGAATATCTTCGGGTATTTGAGTATATAATAAAATTTGTTCTATTCAAGCTTTTTAGATAGGAAGGAAGGAATTTACTGAACAGTGTTAAAAAATTCTATTTTCATGAAATATATACTTGAATGAGATAATAATATATCTGTCAAAATTCACTCAAAATAAATCTCATCTGTATAATTCACCAATCGATATAAAGATTGAGATCTCAAAGAATTGGAAAATGTCATTATATTAATATAATCTAATCAATATACTTATTATTGGACAATTCACTTCAGTTTCACGCATATAGTTTACAAGCAGATGTTGTTTGTAGAGATATTTAATTGATTAAAAATTCATTTATATAAACTTGAAATGGTACTTTAAAAGAATAATAAACAACATGTTTAAATAGATTTGAAAACTAAATGACTCTTAATTTATTGTATTCTGAAATGAATATATGAAATCTAGTCCATGAACTCGATTGTTCGTTATAAAACAAAAACAAAAAAAATATTTTCTTTTTCTAAACTAGTACTACTTTATTTTCTAGAATACATTGACAATAAATGCTTTTGTAAGAAATTACAAAGATTCACCAATGCGTTTGGATATTATCAAAGTTCTTGGTGTAAATAAACCGGTTACCGATGTCACTATTAATGGTAAATTTTATACAGATTTTCTTTATAATATTCCTGATCAAGTATGTATTGAATTTTATATTTAAGAATATTTTTCTATTTTTGTTTTACTTCAAATAGATCTTGCTTATTTATGGACTCGATTTGGATATGCTAGATCAAGAAAATCAAGTCATTCAATGGACTATCGCAAATTAACACTTATTTTGTACGCTTTTTCTTGATCCCGAGTGCTTCAAGCATGTCTTTCAATAGTTGATTAGATCATTTTTGTTTTAGAATTGTGCTATTCCCCCTTTTTTTTTCTTTCTGTTTTCCTTTTTTTGTACAACATATTTTGAACAAACTAATAATTGATAACCAAAGAAAATACGTCGATACAATAGAAAATAAAAAACATGAAAAAAATCCAATAATAAGTTCGTTTTAGTCGAACATTCATAGATGAATTACATCTGTCAGAACTACATAAACATAATGAATCAGTATGATGTTTTTTATGTTGATAACATGTTTCGGCTTTTTTTATATGATAACGAAATATTTTATGACAATCACGTCGTATATAACGTAATGCATGTGTTTTATCATCGCCTGTAATACTATCATTTTCACGTGTCCACATTTTTAAACAATAATCATCGCATAAACGTGTTGGAATTTGTGCTTGAGAAAAATTTCTTGCATCTTCACATGCTTCAGTTTCACGTGAATCACATACAAAACATTCAACTTGTCGACGACATGATGCTGAATCAGCTTGAATAAAATATGAAGAATAAGGATGATTAGTTGGGAAAATAAATAGAAATAATAACTCGACTAGAATCGACATTCGCATGAGACGTTTGTTTGTTCTTGTTACATGTCATATTCATATAAGTAATGATGGCTTATATTCATCTAGAAATTGAAAATTTATAATATTAGGAATAGTAGATAATAAAGATAATATACCTATCATAATATACGAACGACATTTCATGACAGAAGAAATAAATCATATATATATATATATATAAATCCTTTTTTTTTTCTGGCAGAGAAAGCACAATCGTAATGCTAGCAGATTTTATTTTTTATTTTATTTTTTTGTTGTCGAACAAGTCGGAATAGAAATATAATTTTACCTGTCATTAAACGAGAAAGAAAGAATTATATTTGACATTTTTGTCAGTTACGCTAATGATTAATAATATAAAAAATGAGGAAAAAAACTGATAATATATACAAGAATATAGATACTTAAACAAGTGAAACAATGATGTCTAACAAGATATGAATCAGAAAAATTCATAACTACAAGAATGTGTCAATGTCTAACAAAAGAATCCGTGGTGAAGTATTAACGACAAGAGAAAAAAGAAAGAATCGAGTTTTTCAGCAAACAAACAGCATTGGCGTGATGCTATCAAATGCAAGCGAATAAAAGAAGAAGAAGAAGAAAAAGCAGAAGAGTAAAAGAGAAAGAAAAAGAAAAAGACAACAAGCTACATAGACGATCGGGAAATAGAGAAAGGAATTCCAACAGAAAAAAAAAGTAGAAGAGCGCGAGTAGCGAACCGAACTCTAAATCTAAGCGACAATATAGCCACAATAGTAACAGCAGTAACTTATTTCTCTTTAACAACATGTGCACATACTATTCACATGTAGATACACCAACGCACTCTCCATTTTGAGATGAGACGGATTTCCTTTTATACAACTAGTTATATTCCTAATCTATTGGTATTGTTATATTTGAACTCTTCATTCGTGCATAAGCATTAATTATCATCATATGACTAGATGCATGCACATCATAAACATTGAATAAACGATCTCGTGATGATTTATAAAAAAAAAAAAAAAACATTTTCAGTCAATGTTTCATAATAACATTCCGTTTACTTAGAATAAATACCAAAGTAAATAATAATTGATTGCTCAACTCTTATTTAATGATAGAATAAAATATATCGTGTGACACTCTTTCTTATCCTTAATCTGTCATCAATTGTGAACAAGTATATATATAGATATGTCAGTTTGACTCAATCAAGTTAGAATATACGAAGACTACTTTTTCTATGATATAACTTCATATGTTATCATCTGTCAGAAGTGATATATAAAAGCTATCTTTGACAATTTTTATTCATCAACGTAATATCCATTACTCTAATTATATTAAACATTATATATTAACTTTTTATTATAATTTTGTTAAAAAGAAATCGAAATTAAATTGTTTCATTTACTAAGAAAAAAAAACTTCTTAATAATATTCGAATTTAAATAGAAATAAATAGACATCATTTTTAACTTTATCAATAAGAAAGAAAACTTACGCACTAATAGAACTTACTTAATCAATCAACCGATTACAATAGAACAAGTTCTTCTATGATGTTAGAAGAATGTTTTGTAAATATATTTTCTCTTTCTCCTGTATTATGATTAAACATGATATAAATTCAATATATTACATTTTATGTGAGCACAGTCAATTACACAAATTAGATGAAGCGAATAAATTATATCATCGTCATAGACATTTGATCAATTCTGCTTTGTTGTTTGCCATATATTGTTTATAATTGTATTTTTATCGCACATTGGATAATTATGCTTACACATTAAATTATGTAAATGCGTATATGTCATATAAAAGATTATAAATGACAAAAAATAAATAGAAGAATACTAAAATAGATGAAGTATAAAATTGATTAAAAAAAAAATCAACATGAATTGATATATGTAGTAACGATAGCATTTCTATATGAAGTAAAATATTCGAAAAACATAATTAAATTGCTATGAAAATAAATATAAATATCGAGTTCAGTAATCAATAATTCTTTTATAGAAAAAAAGCCTCTTTGACACGTCTGTCAAAGTTTGAGAAATCACCAGAGAGATTCCTCTAGAGAGTTTTTTAGGAATTCCTTTAGGGAAAATCGACTATAAATATCTATTAAAAGAGTATTTCTATGGAAAACAAGCAAAGCGAAACATATACTCTCCACTAGGCGTATCATTAAAGAGCGTTGCATTCAAGCCACGATCAATGTTGTTCGAATAATCTCAACAATTTAGCTTGTATTTGTAGGATAGATAGATCGACTCCTAATAGAAATAAATCTCTAGTTTAAGGTCAAACTAATGATCTATTCTAGAGATATAAAGATTGCAAGAATAGTTGCTCGAACTAATTTTGAGCATTTTTAATAAAATGCAGTTCTTTTTATAAACAACACGAGTTGTACTAGTGAATCTTTTGCTCTAAGTATAATTGACCATGAACTATCTTTTCATGGTATCGAAATCGCGTCATTACTTGATAGTTCCTGATGATGCTATATGCTGACTTCAGATTGATGATTAAGTTAACTAGGCAAGTTTGAAAATATGCTTATTTCAAAAGGAATATCAGAATACAAAGAGTGATGCTCTCAAAAGTTCGTAGGATTGAATTTTGGTATAGAAAAGATTTTCAGCAAGATCTGAAATATTGAATTCGCCGTCCCTAGCTTATCTAAATAATAAAGTCTTTTATATGATTTATTATCATACTTTTTAGTAAAATGATTCTATGTAAATAGAGTTGTTTCTATTATTATGTTTCTTATAGTGTAAGACTTTTAAAGTATGCCTGATTAATTTTAACCACTATGAGAAACATGATCTCATAAATATGTGTGCATGATGAACGAGTTCATTGTAAACCTGATATAGCATGAAAATAACGAGACTATTTGAACCATCAATTCATCATATTTTATTATTATTTTGCACGTCTATGCCGGATAAATATTAGTATATTTATTGAATTCATTGAAGAAAAAACTCTCTAGAGGAATCTCTCTGGTGATTTCTCAAACTTTGACAGACGCGTCAAAGAGGCTTTTTTTCTATAAAAGAATTATTGATTACTGAACTCGATATTTATATTTATTTTCATAGCANGTTTTGGTTGAAAAGGGTGTGGGTGTAGCTGTTCTGTTCATCCACTGCCACACCCATACCCTCTCTGACTGTCTTCATCTTACTTAGCTCAATACTTGCTAAAGTATAATAGTGAGTAAAGTTTTTATTCAGATTTCAAGTTCTCCCATCACAAACACTGTACCTCTCAGAAATGATGGTATCATTGTTGAACAGCCTAAAATGACACGTTGCAAGATTGCGATCAATTATTCTTCGAGTTGTTAAAGCGATGCTTGCGAGTTTATCATTAACTTAGAGATTGCATAGTAGTCAATTATTCTGAACCAATCAACTGTTTATCAATTTTAAGAACCTTCTTACAGTGCTTTAGGGTTTGTGACATGATTTCTTATCACGTAACAAATAGATAATGATGATCATTCTTATGTTCTCCTACTTCACTCGAAAAACAAAGAATTGAAACTATTTAACTAATTTATTGTCACATGTTAAAAGAAATATCGGCACGAATATTTTCACTTATTTTACTCATATTGAATGAAACTATGCGTGTTAATCGAAATTGGTCATTGGTCACATGACAAAAGAATAATGATAACGCTTGACGAAATGGTTCGGTTCACTTATTTTAATTTTCTTTAAACCATTGATAGAGATTTAGTCGACAGATCAAATATTCCATGAACAATGAATAAAAATAATTCATGTTGCGTTCTACTATAATAATTCCTCGGAAATCTAACCTTTAAGTTTATCTACTGATAAAAATCATATGATATATATGAACAAACATGTTGTAACCATTTTATCTATCTATGTTTTCATCTCGCTTTCAAAGTTGAAAGAGAGTTTACTTTTCGATAAGTGCATAGCACACGAATACTTCACAGCAGGGTTGAGTTCATCTATTTTTTTGATATTCAAATGGAAAAAGATTAATTGCTAAATTCATCGAAGATAACATCCCAAACAAATTATTTTAACCAATGTTGTATTCATGTAACGTTCTCCTTTCGAAAGATAAGATTACCAACTAGCAATATGGACTGAAGATCGCAGAACTTATGAATAATCATGACTGGTGTTTCATTCATCTACGTTAGGGATTTCGTACAGAAGTATACGGTTCATACAGTTTATCACACATCTGATAGCAAATGAATCCTTATTAACCAACGATTTTGTTCATTTAGCTTCACTTATGTTCAAGTAAATGTTGCAAATCAATGAGTTGATCAATAATCACAAGATTAATGAATTATATTGACGAGAAATTTGTGCACTTATTTCGTGAACTATGAAATCAAACAGTTAAATTATTTTTTCCGAGAAGATGCTATGAAAAATTAATAAACATTTCTTCATCCGCCTTGGTCCAATAGTTCTGTTCAGTGACGTGGTGTACATCGAAATAATTATTTAAAATATATCCACATTTAGAAAATAACACAATGAATGATTGATCATAATTCTTCCAATAATCACATTCATATATTTCATTCACTCTGTATCTAAAATTGTGAGTCATTGGATTATTCAACGATTGCATGAAAATGAAATCATTCTTATTGCAGATATATCCTTCATCTATTTTACTTACATTGGCGCATAGTTTTCCAGTCATAATTGCAACCAACCATCACATGAAAAACAAATCATCAAGACCCAACAGTGTTGCTCATTAATTTCGGTCGCTTGCAAACGACATGTTGCTTTGTGCTCAAGAATGAAGATCACATATTAAATGTATGATCATTGTCCAAGTGCTCTGAAGATTTAATTCATCTATTTTACCAACATGAAATCCATTACTGAGAAATAGTCAAATTTTTACGAGTCATCGATTAAATGAACAATAATAATCACCAGTAGATTCTATCGACTTATTTTGTCAACAATACCGTACATATTTCAATCGCATAGTTGATTGACGTTCTCACATCACATATGAATGATTCAAAAAGTGCCAATGATCATGTTCATCTATGCCAATTATCTCAAAGAGAAATTATTGCGTTGCTAAATGTAAGGAAGAGAGCATATCAAATGAATCAATTGAATCAGTATTCTGTTCGCTTATTTTTGTTTGATTCCAGAACTAAGGTGTGAGCAGCATTTTTTTTGAATCAAGACTGTATGAAAAATGAATAATCATAACGACAATTGTGACATTTTGCACAAACGTTTTGTTGCAAAACTATGCCTTCTGGAAAGCAAACCATTGGAGTTGAAGTAGCACTTGAAGTTTACATCACAGATGAATAATCTTTAGGATGATAGAATTCGTTTATCACATTTTTTTGTCAGCGGAGCTTAGAAGTTCTGCAGTAGATTATAATTGACAGAGGAAGCGAATGGTAAGGACGGCCACGAACACTTACTTCAGTTATATTTCTCCCTGCGAATACAAGTTCTGTTACAACTAACTATGAACAAGTCATGGAATATATGACTGCTCATGACAAAACTTGTGTTCATCTGCTCTGTTCTGTCGTGAGGAAACGTTGCAAGATTCTTTTCTGATCAGTGACCACTGAAGAGATGAATACATTTCAAAGAGCTTTTCACATGTACCAGGTGCAGCGAATTCTGAAGATGCTAAATGAAAATAAGAAGCAACTACATAATCATATAGGACACAGGTGATATTTTTAGAAAAAGTCTGTATGGGGACAATGGCGAAGTCGAAGGAGGTCAACTAATGACCAATGCATCGACCCAATGATAATTGTGAATACATCGGTACCAGATTTGGTTGAAATCCAATATTATTTTCGACATCTGCACTCTTGTGTTCTCGGTAGAAATTCAATATTTGATTCGACTGTATTTATGAACTAACTCGTTTGATCTTTAAATTTTGTTCGACTCGACTTCCTGAGCTTGATTCACATTCGACTCATTCTAACTTATGTGTTTTCCCTTAATGATTGACATAAAATATCTTGTATTCTAATTTTCATAACATAGATACTGCTTATTTTCTCTCGTACACTATCATTTAAACAGATCCTACGCTTTCTTCAGGGTTAACAATAATAAAAGGCGTGTTGTTTGAAAAACCGATTATCAATTCAATAAAATATGGTAATCTTGACACGGTTCATACTTAGCTTTATTTACAGATTGGTGAAAAGAGAAGAGAAAGTCTGTCATCCGTCAAAAAAGACAATTCAAGGAAAGAAAAATTTCCTTCCTAATGGAAGAGACTGGTCTTTAAATTTGATTTGGCATGATTCTCAGTATCTCTGAGCAACTATAGCAGTAAACAGTTTTTCACATGTAGTAAATTGATATCAGTTTTCTATTCAATGATGAATGTGACTGCTACCTCACATTAAAAAATCCTCGATACAAAATTATTACAATCGTTAACTTGTTTTATTTTATGAGCTATGAATAATTTCTCGAGAGTTTCGATCATCTGACCTCGTATCAGCTAGACATTATGTGACATTGGAATTAACAATAATACTCACTGAAGTGATAATTTGTTTGTTTTCAGAGCAAGCTGCAGTCATTCGATCTACGTATGTTTTCCAAATATGACTTCTGTACATTCAATAGGCAAAAATCTGAGTTTTTAAAATAAAATTACATAATATCCTGT